TTAAAAATAAATCAAAACAAAACAAAAAACATGACACGACTGTTATACATGTAACACCAAGATGATGGAGCTCTTGCTCCGGGGTTATTTGATCAATTCTTTTCTACCTTTTTTTTGTTATTATGACCTGATGATAAATTCAACCAGAGTGCCACCATTAAGGAAATGAGTCGGTCAACAAGGCACTGGTGGTTCAGTGGTAGAATTCTCGCCTGCCACGCGGGAGGCCCGGGTTTGATTCCCGGCTAGTGCATTTCGTTTTAATATGGATTTCCTTATTTAATGTAGCCAAAAAGAACAGAAAGAATGAAATAGATTGAGCGACATAATAATAATAGGAAAGGGTGATTTCAGTTTTGTAACCCCTGTTCCCAGGGTGACCTTAGTACATGCCCCTCCTAACAGACTGTTTTAGTTTGTATGTTTACTTATGCTTTCACGTATACACGTGAATAAGATGGAATTTAAAAGAAACTGTACTGTTCTTTTACGTGTCACATGAACTTCGTTCCGAAAACAAAACATACAAGCTAAATAGATCTATTCAAGGAAGGTTCTTAACTTTTCGAACCAATAGTATGAAAGGAAATAATGTTGTCAGATCACAAACTTACTCTTCGTCGATTTGATAACCATAAACCCTAGTGACCGTTAGCCTTTATTGAGTAATATAGAGAATAAACTGATTTTTAAAATTATCACTTTGTTCTGAGGCTTAGTGGAATAAAACAAAATAAATGTATTATTCATCCCCGAACTTTGAATTGATTCCTAATCTTTTATTTCAGAAGTCTCAGAAACAAGAATGAATCTTAATACACCGAAATTGGTCTATTGCGGCACCAGGAGTAGCCTGCGGACACAGACGTATTTTTGGCCGTCGCTTCTCTCCAACCAAAAAGTAACGTCTGACTTGTGAACATATCCACCGCGCACGATCTTGAGAGAGATTCGCGAGTTAGCTCCTTAATGTTAAGAACTAAACTATGATTGGCTAATAAGGTTTTACATTACGGAGATCGTTTTGCCGGAGCACTGCTCAAGGATTCCGGAATTCCACTGACAATTAGAATCCAGAATCCAAGTGCCAGTGACAAAGACTGGAATCCAGTACCTGGAATCAGGAATCCACGGCGTGGAATCCAGAATCCAAGACTGTTTTGGACTCGATTACATGGGGCGATAGTCAACTGAATTAATGAACAGCGCGCCCAGGGAGAGAAACAGCAGATAACTAACAAAAAAAGCGAAATACTGTATCGTCATGAGGACTGAAATATTATTATTTTTACACAAAAAAAGAATAAAAAATTAGAAATCTCAATATCTAAAGTTTGTACAAACCGCGGGTTAAATACGCACAATGCTACTTAAAAGATGAAAACTACAGCTCTATATTTAACTCGACTGAAATGGCACGACACCTATCAATGACTGTGCTTTATCGTGAGACAAACTGCGGTTCAGTGACAAAAGATTGGTGACAGGCTGGTGAGAAAAATTCGGAGCGAATTTTATAAACTCTTGCAGACACGATCATAAAAGTTAAACAACAACAACAAGCCACTTAACGAAACGCACAGAAATCTAAAGGACTTGGCAAGGTAAGACTGCCTGCAAAGCATGCATTTTGATGGTGGCTTACACTCCGTATCGACTCCGTAGCAGGGGCGTTCATGCGATGTTTCCTAGTGCTTGAAACCAATAAATGTTTGTGCATACCTGACAAGTATTTCAAGTTTGAGGTGTTTTCATCGCTGCTGCGGTGAGGTGGTTGTATCTGAGTGAACTTCTAAAAATACAGAGAATCAAAAAATCGGTAAAATATTTCATCGTGGCCGTGAATGGCGAAATCAGCGCACTGTGATTATTGAAGTCAGTGCAACTTTCTCATCAGTTAAATCTGGCAAATATTGTACGGATGATTTCTTTATCTTTATTGCTTTATTTTTAATTTTATTACAAAATGTATCCTTTATGGTTGTAATATTTACATTCAGACTGAGTTTGTGTGAGTGGGTATTTATTTTTCTTTTCGGGACAACGGCATGAACTGTCAGATTTTAATGCAGTGACCTCTTAAAACCCTACCCTAGGCCCGTTTAAGTAGATCGTTATACAGTCATGTAAGTACTAAAACTTTAATTAGGATCTCGAAAGGGGTAGGGCTGGGAGGAACTTAAGACCTAAAAAATAGCTCATTTCAGTAAAATTATTCTTTACCCTTCTTTACTTTAAATTTCTTGATTCACTTATATTTCAAAAACTTGTTGACCTGTCTTTCAATTTTGAGATGATTCATTTTCCTTGCCTGTTTTAAACTAATCCCGCGAAATGCCTGACATTCCCCTCTGTTTTCCTTAGACAGTTAAATCAAGGTTACGCGACAACGGACACATCGAGGGCCGTCGGGAGCATTTTTAAACTATGCCATTCTAACTATTCTGAAGACTATATACTATCCTGGCCCCGGTTCCTGAAAGGCCGATTAGCGCTAATCCAGGAAAAAAAATGGGGTCTATTTTTGTATTTACCTTCCTATGCTTTGCTTAGAGTAACATTTTGTGCTATCATCACTGAATCTTGAAGTAAAGGCACAAAAGTATTTTGTAAGCTCGAGTAACTTGTTCTTAGACAAGAAAACCTTGCTTAAAATTTGGCTTAATCCTGGTTTAAACTTAACCACCTTTCGAGGAACCGGGCCCTGAAGACTATCTGCTTGATTTCGTCGTAAGCATTTTTACCCCCTTGGCTATGGACTGGATAATTTCCAATCAATATAAAACGATGCAGATTATACATTTCTCAACCGATTTAGCTTTCTGTCTAAGTGATTCGGCTGATAAGGAACAAAATTCACAGGGCAGATACCTGATTTTGGAAATTCTGACCAATCCTGTCAGTGTTACCAACAAAAAAAATCCTACTAACATTTTCTAGCAACGTCCACTGCTAATTTATATTTGATATTCACCCACCAGTCTTTTCTGAATTACACATAAAAACTAGCTACAGCGGCAATTAATGATTAAAATTCTCTGCATACTTATTAAGAGACACGTACAGAAGCACGTACAGAAATTACATGTCAGATGTTCCAATATTTGTACACATGTCACTGCCTACTATTTTGTATTTGAATAATACGCTCATTTCAGCTGCGGAGTTTTAGAAAGATACGAAAGAGTTAAAACTAGATTTGCTGAGTAGTGTAGAATTGCTACAATAACGCTCTGATGAAACTGAGTTCCGTTCTAAAGATAAATATCGGCTGTGACACACCTTGTTTTCTATTGTTTCTTACAGACCAAAAACTTTAAGGTCACCCAAAATTTTTGGCGTGCAACCACTTCTAGATTAGTAGTGTTCAGGTATCAGTTAAATTAGAATTGTTGATTCAGACGCCAGCTAAACAAGTACGGAGTGACGTGATCATTACCTCCCCTGAAGGTTGATCTCTTTCGTTGCCCGGCTTCTGTTTTCGAGGAGTAGTAGTTGAAGTAATGGACAGCGCGCGCAGGGACAGAAATAGAGAACTAACAAAACAATCGAAATCATACTGTATCGTCATAAGGACTGGAATATTATTATGCGTTAAATGCTATAATGTTAATTAATATCATTTTTGAAAGTGAACTAATCATCAGTTAATCTCGAATTTCTTCTCTTTTTTATTAGCTTCTTGTCCCTGGTTCGTAAAGGTCAGTTTCTATATTCACGTGCAGGCATTGAAGCCGGGAACTGAAAAAGGCGATGGAGTTAATTTATACATAATTTAACATCAAAATCATCAAGCTTTTGATAGTTTTAAAAGCTGTTGCTTCGTGTTTTGCCGTCTTTTAAATGTGCGTTGTAACTTTTTCCCTCTCGGCTACCACACACAAAAAAATATCCGTTTGGACCTTCTCAGGCCATGGCTCCAGAATGCCTTTTCGAAATGCCTTGGATGAAACCGGTTTGAAAAGAAAACAACCACAAAAAAAATGTCTAGCACCCACTAGGGTAACTTTCTCAAAATTCCCTCTGCTAATTTATAGCCTGCGTAACAAGAGGGTTTGGGCATGCGATAACGAATAGGGTGTGAAAGGGAAGTATGTTTCTAAAATTTCCTCGCATTCAGAGAAGCGGAAATTTGAACCTCATTTGGCTTTCAATAGAAGTAACAAACTAATATGTGTATATATATCTTGTTTTACTAAAAGCTTAATCTACATTTGAAGCCAACGCACTAACACAATTAAAAATAACAATAACAAAGCCTCTCTATTACAAGAAAGAGAGAAAAGTAAAGTCCTATTTTTTTTAACTGATATAACTGTGAATAGAAGAATATTAAAGTTTTGCTTAAACTATTTACTTCTTACCTTTTGCTCCAAAATTTACTTGTGGGCAATTTCTTCCTTATTTTTTTGCGTGTCTTGGAAATGGAGTATCATGATCACCACAATGGCGAAGTTTAGGTTTCCTTCTCCTCTTTTGTTCTAATCTCATTTCTTCCCAAATTTTCTTTCGATATCCACGATTAAAGCTACACCTCCTATATCGAACACGCATCAGTCACTCCGGGTTATTGTAAACGTTCAGAGTTGAAAAGTTCAAAACTCTGGTTTAAACTGCGTGACTGAGCGGAGAACTAACACTGCGTCTTAAACTACTTAGAGAGCGAAAAACTTTATTTTATTTTCTAGAAGGGTAGGATAGAGAAAATTTTCCAAAGGAAGCCACGGCCTTAGCGTAATATTAAAGGCATTTTTTTTTTTCAGATAAACGAAAAATTCTAAGTCAAAGAAAATGGTGAATCTCAAGAAATAGGATAACCTGAACTTGTTACAAAAAAAACTGATCATGATACAGTTTTTATCAGTAACATTTTTAATATGACTTTTCGAATTACACATGCAGAGACCTTGCAAACCTTTGACACTGGCGTTCGACGACTGTAGAAAAAACATCAAAATAAAAAAATAAATAAATAAAATCTCGTCAAAGAATGGGAAAGACTATGACTGGGGCCTAGATACTTCTTCAATCATTAACCGGGACACTGACTGCCAGCCGGTGTAAGCGTCACCAAGGGCGTGACCACCACTACACTTTCCTACCCATAATTCCACTCTAACTGCCCCTTGTGGAATGTTTTCACAGTATCCTTCAAATGACCGATGATGCAACAGATTGGGGTTCCCTGATGTCCAGTTGTTGTAAACAGCAGCCTCAATCGTCATTGGTCCACTACATTCGTTTCCATTGAACTTGAAATACCACCGATTACACTTAGTATCACCAGAGACCCGCATGTTTCCCTGGAATGAGACTTTGAGCGCTGAACCGGACTTAAATTTGTTAAAAGCACACTCCTGGAAAACAATCAAAATCTACTTAGTAACGCCTCTATTATTGTATTTATTTACTAAATGGGAAAGGAAATAATTATCAACTGATTCGGAGGTTAAACGGAGTGATGATCACGGGAAGGGGAAGGAGATTTATCTTCTCAGAGCAATTTATTTGACTCCAAATTAATTGCAGCAAAATCTTACATTTTCTTCCTTCTTCTATCGAATGAGATCGTGTACTTTTCTTGTGATCTATAGAAATCATTTAGCATATTTCTTGCTAACCTTAATCTTTCCGTTATCAGTATCGCTGTGTGATTTCCACACACATTGTTTCCAGTTGGTTTGTGGTACTACACTTGCTTGACTTGCTTTGGCGCTTTCTCCTTTCTCTCCTTTGTCTCCTTTTCTTCCTTGATTTCCCACAATGCCTTGCTCTCCTTTCATTCCCACAAGACCCGATTCACCTTTTGTTCCCGTAATTTCTGGCGGTCCGCTCTTCCCGGGAGGCCCTTCGCGCCCTCTGTCTCCTCTTGGACCTTGCACTCCTTGCGATCCCTTATCACCAATTTGTCCTTTTGGGCCTTCTCTTCCCTGGGGTCCCTGCGGCCCAGGCACGCCTGGCATTCCCGGCATGCCATTTGACCCTGGAATGCCTGGAAAACCATGACTCAAAGTAGATTTCTGAAAGTAAAGATGTGTAATTAAAAGAATAGCCATAGCATATCATAGCAGCAAACGGAGGTAATGTATTGAGAGATTAATTACCACAGTCGGGAATGAAAGCGTACGTTTTCATTTAGTAGTGATTAACGGTGGGAAGTTTTAATCCAAATTCATGAAAACCTATAATAATTCATGTGAAACAGGAAGTTTCAATAAATAACACAGCAGAAATTTTATATCAAGGATTATTTTAGTAAGGCTACCGTATATTGATAAAGAAAGCGGTCGGGACAAACGGTTTGGTGAACTCCCAGCTATCCCCCTAAGCAAGACAAAATAAAGAAAGAAGCAAAGAAAATAATAATAGTAATAATGATGATGATGATCACGGCATTGAACATCGTCGGCATGACATAGTGTTTTTAGATAAAAAGCAAGGATGGTGTCATATAATTGTTATAGTAAGTCCCTCAGGGAGCTACCCAAATGGTTAAAATATAATTGAAAAAGGAAAAGTCGGAAAAATGCAAGGATTTAAGAAGGGAAGTTGCTCGGCTAAGCACAGGTAGCCCAAGATCGAAATATGAGCATCGGCGAGCATCGGCATTGTTGCGTAACATTCAAAATATAAGGATTTGTATGGGAAAAAAAAAAAAACCTATCTTGTTTCTGAAACCTACGGAAATGAAAGGATTGAAATAAAAAAAAACAGCTTACCTTACTTAAAATGTGTGTTACGTCTGTCCTGTGTGGTTCACGCGCCGATTTATGGCCGTTTTATGGGTTTTTATGTAAACTGTTTTCTCTCTATGTAAAGGTTTACCAAGGTTGGGCACTCCAGCGAAGCGGCGCGGCTGATCCGCTGAAGGAAAACGGCCATAAATTCGCTCCAACTGCTCCAATCGCCTCCAAATTCCGCCTTGGTGACACACGATAGTTCTCCTTTCCATTCGTTATCTTGTTTCAAGATGCCTTTGCACCGAGAGCGAATCAAAGGTCGCAATTCTCTGCAACCTTTCCTGTCTGAAGCCATCGACTGAACCTCGGCATGAACTCCGCGTTACCGTTGAAAGACAGCGAAACGGCCGGAGATTCAAATTATTCACTCTCGGGGTGGGAGACAGTCTCTTGCTCCCGTTGTTTTCTTTCTCAAGTATTGATTGGAGCAGTTGGAGCGAGTTTACGGCCGTTTTCCTTCGGTGGATCAGTCGAGCCGCTTCGCTGGAGTGCCCAACCTTGGTAAACCTTTATATAGAGAGAAAACCGTTCACATAAAGACCCATAAAACGGCCATAAATCGGCCCGTGGACCACACAGGAGAGACGTAACACACATTTTAAGTAAGGTAAGCTGTTTTTTATTTCAATCCTTTCATTTTCGTAGGTTACAGAAACGATTGGTTTTTTTCCCATACAAATCCTTATATTTTGAATGTTGCGCGACAATGCCGATGCTCGCCGATGCTCATATTTCGAGCTTGGGCTACCTGTGGGCTAAGGAATGTAAGTGCTTCAGAATTAAGTAATTGCTGGTTTTCAGTGTCACGCCATTTAAGGTGGCTGAACACATTTTGGCAGTTTGTGAGTATATATTATTTGCCAAATCATGGCAAGAGAAAGGTTGCAGCTCACAAGCTGAAACTTGGCAAGTGAAAAATACATTGATGAAAGATTTTGATTGACAGGTAAAATGTGACGTTTTCGTAGTTTCCATGGCAACATGAACGATTGAATACAACCTTTAAATTTCACTTTTGCTCAGTTTACATAAAGTTCGCTCATTAGATTTTCCTATAAACTTGCACGCAGCTTACTATTATTAATCATTACCATTTGAAACTTATTTGACCAAATCTTAACAGACAAGTTTTTAGATAATCAAGAATACAATTGTACTGTAATTATTAAATGTGTCACAAAATTCGTCTGTTCAACTGCCATTTTAAAGTTCTCATTATTTAAAACACGATAAAAGGAAAATTCTGCCAAATATCTCAAAATTTTAATGAGTAGATTTTGAGAAATCGTCTTCTCTGTACCACTGCTTTTTTCGCCGCCATGTTTGCTTGTCTAATTTAAAACGGCGCTGCCACGCGAGTTACCGCTGACCGCGCGCAAAACTGTGTTCAGCCACCTTAAAATACATAAAAAACAATCAAAACCGTTCAATAGATAAAGTCCAGAATCTTGGAAATGAAAGGAGGTAAATATGCAAAGACCGTCGCCAAAATTCAGGTCAGAGGAATATTTCATATACGAGATATCGGAAGAAATGTTTTAACCAGATTTATAGAGATTTGCATGGAGAAGCCATGCTGGTGCCCAACTGGATGAGCTCCAACATGGCGGACGGACACCAACAGAAACATCTGTTACCGAGTTTTCCTGCAAAAGCGTGAATTTATTCCTCGAGGAACTCCTAAACATTAAGTAATACTTTTTTCTTATACATGAACTATTTAGATAGCAAAATTCCCTGAAATAAGTAATTTTTTAAACCTAAAAAGACATATGCCGCGTCGCACAAAAGCTTATAAGAAATTCAAGCGGACTCTATCACAAAACAAAGAACCCTTTTGAAGCGAAATTTTTTCTGAAAATGAGTTTTCAGCTGCTCTAATACATCATAAAAGTAAAATCTCGGTAGGATCAATAGTTCTGTAAAATTTTAGTGACTTCACGAGAAAACCAACAATAGTTGGAACTTTGGTTATCGTGTCAAATGTAATTTCTTCAGACTAGGATAATTAAAGCTGGGTTAATGATAAAATAATGATAATGATGATGATGATGATGATGATGATGATGATGATGATGATGATAAAGATGATGATGATGATGATGATGATGATGATGATATAACCAAATAATAATGATTAAAATAAAAATAAAGAAAATAACGATAACAATAATAGCAATGATAATAATAATAATAACGATAAATTAATGATAAATTATTTAAACCAAAAAAAGCTAGGAATGGTAAAGGAATGGTTTTTAGTGGAAAGAGAAAATTCTTTTTAAAACAAAACTCAGTCTCCCCGCATTTTATTTTGCTGCTTGCCTTTACAAACAATGCAACCCTAAAAAAGAAATGCGTCACCCTCAATTCAATTGACATGAAACGGCCGTTAATCGATACCCGTCTATTATTCAGAAACTGCGAAATAAATTTTCTAAAACTGGGTAGTTCAGAACAAATCCGCAAGACTAACCTTTGGGGTAACAGAAAAATTGAGGTTTACGTTATTTATAAACTAAATAATAAATCGTAAAGCTCAGGAAGACCACGGTGCCTTATGGCGAAGCTGGCATTTTTAGTGTGCCAATATAAACTCCGTTGAAGACCTTTTTGATGCGATTTTGTTTTCCACCCACTGCCCGATACCAAAAATGTCAGCTAAAACAGAATAATTGTTTCATACCTCGCATAAATCTTTTAACTTTGCGGTCTTTTGTTGCTGAGGTGAGGTGGTTGTTCCCAGTGAACCGCCAGAAAAAGAGAAAACCAAGAAAACAGCGAAATACTGAACCATTATTAGAGCTCAAACAGAACACTGCGATTACTGAAATCAGTGCTACGTGCTCATCAGTTAAATAGTCAATATTAAGAATTTGTTTTTTTTCCTGTTTTAATGTTGCTGGTTACCTCTTTATTTCATTTCCTTTTATGGTAGAATTATTTGTTTGTTTTCCTTCTTGAACTATCTTCCCTTTTAATGCGAGTCGTTATACGTGTGCGGGTATAGTTTCATATATTTTTATATAATATATTTAAGTCACAAGCATAGCATTCACCTCATATCTTTTACCAACCATATCATTTACCTGTGCACGTTTCGTTTGAGTTCTATTTTTCTTTTGCAGTATACGTTTCAATGTTTCAGAACTTAGACATCGTACTGAAACAAATGCGTAATTTTAACCAATTGAAGTAACTTCGTTATGTGCACGATATTTGTTGCCTCATTTTTCTTGATAATGCCCTGTTTTCTTTTTTAGTTCTAACCCGCAAAAAATTTAAGGTTGCAACCTCTTGAAAGCACCCACTTTCAGGTGGTTGGTGCTTATTACTAAATTACAATTTTAATTTAGCGCCAGTCACGGAAGTTCCAACCTGCCAAAGTTGATGAGTAATATTCTTTGAAGATTCTGTTGCTAAGCATTTATCATAAGTCACGGTAATGAAGTCTTAGCAAAAAGAGAACATGGATAAGTAGCAACAAAACCAGTTAAAATCAAACATTATGTCAAGGCATAATCATATGTTATTTATGTCGATACAATGTAGTATGTCTTTGTTGTCTCGCTGCATAGTTTGTCATTCGATTCGTGTCAACCTAAGCTCTCTTTCAAGAGGCAATCAATTTCATCGCTCTCTCTTACTTTCATTCTCCCCTCCGTCCCCCTTTGCCATCTGTTGGGAGAAATTCTGGGCAATTATGATTTAGTTTTGCAATTGGGCGAATTTCTAGCCCCACCATTGCCGAAAATAACAAATTGTTTAGTATTATCGCTGTTAATTTAAATGCGTCTTTGTTTGACAGTCAGTTAAACTGCCACTCAGACAAGTGGCCAATTAATGCCATCACTCGAGTGTCATCTCCGTTGTGACGGCAATGAGAGCTACCCAAATTCCTACTAGGGAATCGGCATAAATACTTCCCCTTGATAAGGACAGAACCGTTATTCTGCATCTATCTACTGTCTACTATCACTGCCATGCCCTTTTCTTGAGTACAAATATTTTCAAAGTTTAACTGAGATTTCATCTTTGTTTTTTGTTAACGTGCTCTAAGTAGAGTTTAGTAATTTAATTACAAGAGCATCAAGACTTTGATAGCGCTGATAGCTGTTGTTTATTGCTGTTTTTACAGGAAGTTTCTATTTGCTAGCAAGCCAAAAATATCAAGTCGTGACCTTCTCATCATGTTTCCCCTGCTAAGTACTTTGGTCGTGTTTCTAAACAAGCTCGAACTTGGCTGTTGTTGCTTTGTTTTAAAATGCAGAGATAATAAGGACCAGCAAACTGGCCTGCGAGTAAAAGATACTCAAAGAGTAGCCGAGCTAGAGCAACTATAATTCCATCTTTGATAGAAGCAATTATACTAATGATAATTTATTTTAAACTAAGAAACAGAATTCCAGATCTTTTTTTCCTTTGTCTTTCTTTCTGTACGTTTTTAATCTTAGAAAATGGAAGGAATTTCAGGTCGTTCAGGAAATTTAACTGTGAGTAGAAATTTGTAAAATATAAGCTCTAGACAAAGGTTTTTACAGTTTCTTTAGAAAAGGAATACTATAAGTGTTTTAATTTTCCCGCCGACCAGCTGCTTTCGCTCTTTTTTTCGTCTATCAGAAATTCGCTCCAAAGAAGCTCCCTTCTTTCTCATTACCATTTAAATACGCGTGAATTCTTGCACTTTCCTTTTTCATAACGATGAAAGTGAATTTAAAGGGAAGAGTCCATAAGTAAAGCTTAGATAGCCCGCCATCACACCAAAGCGTCCCTGACAAGGTTAGCGAGCTTACTCCTGGATTATTTGTTTACCCTTTTTTACCTTGCTTTTTTCTTTGTTTGTTTGTTTGTTTTCCTTTTTTCTTTTCACCGTAAAAACTCAACCACAATGCCTCTTTTAAGGCAACGAGTCAGTTTCTAATAGGGCACTGCTACCAATTCAGTGTTAGAATTCTCTCCTGCCACGCGGCAGGCCCGGGTTCGATTAAAAGCCAGTGCATCTACTTTTAAAGTTTAATGTGGATTAAAAAATAAATCATAATAATAATAAAAATAATAATACTAATAATAATGACAGAAAAGATTGTTATCGTCCAGTTATTTAGCTAATTTAGTCATAACAAGAGGTATAGAACAAAGGGTTTTTCACAGGTTGGGAGATCCGATGTACACTACATGAAGTAGGACAGTTGTTTTCGGCTTTTGTTTATCGCGTGTTTATGCAATCCCCCTCTACTATACTTGTGCTCTAATAAAATTATTGATCGGTATTCTCTTCTCCATCTTAACGACTTTTCTATATACCATGACGTAACCACTGAAGGCAGCAAAAAATAAAGCAGTTTAACCTGTTTGCATTCAAGTATTTGGGATCAGTTCTGGATCGCTGGTTTGATAGGATGGTTCTGACAAAAAAAAACACATAATTCGTTCGAAGAATCTGTCGCGTGTTACTTATCATTTTCTTCGTTTACTTATTTTCTTGTGTCTTCGATTCCTCTTATTTACAGCACGCTTCAGATAAAAGTTCCTAGAAACCACTTAGTTAAACATTTTCCCTTTTTCATTTGAAGTGGAGTTATTTAAACAAAAAAGAAGGTAAGAATTAGTCGATTAGTAGCTTTCTGTTGCTCTAAGGTCACTGTTTAAAGTGTTTAGCAGAAAAAGGTCACCCTTATTTTCATGGAATTTTATCACATTTTATCAAGAGTAAAGAGATATCTGAGGTAAGTTGGCTGTTCCCAGCGAATTCGCAGAAAAACATACATCAACAGGAGAGCGGAATGCTGACAGCAGTGTTTCGCGATCCGTGCTCTCTGCTCTTTTATTGGATAGCGAATATTGCTCAACTGCTGATTTGTAATTTTTAAGGCAGTCGTTACTAATTTGGTCCTTGTTCCTATTTCTTTCTCGAACAACTAAATATTTAATGCAGCCACCTATTAAATAATATCAGGCCCTTTTAAGTGGATAATCAGTACGTGTGAGTAGTCAACTAAAATTTTGGTCAACCTCCAGCTAAACAAGCCCAAAACATAGGTGTGGTTTCTATTTTTAATCTTTACACCATCAGATACGTTTCCCATTGACCCATGGACACGCACCTTTTGTTTGTTCTGGCCATATGACTAAAAAAATGCGTAATTTAAATAAAAGAGAATTTTAAGACGTCGATACCATGTTACATACAAGATAGTTGTTGCTTCGTTTTTATTGATTATGCTTTGTTCGAATTTGTTCTGTTTTTAACATGCCAACAATTGAAGATGACCTCAGTTAAATGTTTAGAGTGTTTCTACTTCTGCAAGGTCGGTGGTGTTAAGTATTAAATTAGAATTTTGATTCAGCGCCAGTAAGTTATGTCAAGTCCTTTAGATTGTTTTCTTTGATCATGATTTGAGGTAATCGGTGTTTAAGTTTTACATTCCTTGAAGGTTCATCTGTTCTGGTTTTTTTCTGTTGTTCAAATGTTTACGTTATTAGTATTGAACTCTGCTCTACGCAAGGACAGAAAACAGAGTGAATAACAAAACAAGAGAAGTACTGATACTCTTGAGCCGGCGATGCTTACGCTGAATTAACTTGCCTCCGCACACGTCATATTTTTCTATATTTGTATATTATTTTCTTAACGCACACGCGCACAACATTCATTCCGTACACACACACACACACACACACACACATAAAAACTACTTGGAAGGACAAACTTTTTAAACTTCTTTTGGAAGCCAAGGAAAGGAGGGAGACGCTCTTATTAGGACTAGGGCGTAGATACTTCTTCTATCATTATCCGGGACACTGACTCCCATCCGGTGTGAGTATCACCCAGGCGAAGCCACTGCACTGTCCTACCCATAATTCCACTCTAACCGCCCCTTGTGGGATGTTTTCACAAGTACCCCTTGAATGACCGATGATGATGCAGATTAGGGTTCCCTGATGACCAGTCGTTGTAAACAACAGCCTCAATCGTCATTGGTCCACTGCATTCGTTTCCATTAAATTTGAAACACCACCTATTACACTTAGAATAACCATGAACCCTCACGCTTCCGTGAAATGAGACCTTCAGCGCTGTATCCGACTTCAACTTTTTTAAAAGCACAGTCCTGGAAAGAAAAAAAAGGACATTTATAGGGCTGCAACTCTAGTGATGTTGAATAACACAGAAAATTAATGCCTTTAACGGGAATGAAAGCTGAGAGGAGGAAGAGATTAATAACCTCATTGCTGTTAAATTGCTTTTATCTTAGCAAAATTTTGAATTTTCAACCTCATTCTGCCGATTGAGATCATCTACCTCACTCACAAGAGTCCACTTAAAGCGCGTTTCTAGTTTACCTTAATCTTTCCGTTATCAGTAACGCTGTCTGATTTCCAACACATTGTTTCCATATCAAACTCATTGCCCACAAATGAGGACATTTGCTCTTCAGTGATCATTACATGGAGTGTATGCTACTGAGCGTACCATCACAAATAAACATGGGCGATCGACCGAAGCGAATGTCATGTCTTCTACGGCGTTTTGTGGAAGAATTCTGTCAGCTCTGCGAAAAAAAAGATCGAGAAAGTGGAACGAAAACGCAAAACAGACAGGGATTTGTATGTTGTTGAGGTTGTTGAAGTGGATACGACGCGAAAACAGCTAAAATCCATTTCGTGGGATTCAGTCACGAATACGATGAGTGGAGTGATCACGATAATAAAAGGAATTACTTTCCCTTCGTTCGCTTGGAAAAAATGTTTTTCCCCGAGGAAGGTTCGCTGGAGGATAGAGGCAACATTCACGGGCAATTGTATCGTTGCCTGATTCCTTCAATATCTTTTCAATTATGTGTGCAAGAGCAGATTCTCTGGTCTCCTCTTCGGCCTTTGAAATCGTATAAATTAAAAAGCTGCGGGAATAAATAGAAAAAACGAGGAATTATTAAATATCCGAAAATTTAGAAATCGAACTGGTTGAAAATATAATTAAGCTCCTTTTAAAATATTCATCATCACTTCAAATTACTTACTTGTTAATCTAGTAAGTATACGAAGGACCGTTTTACTGGCTGAATTTCTCAACATTTTCGCCTTGAAAATTGTCTTCAACTGCAGAAACCGTCACGGTACAAGCGAAGAGAAGAAAGAGAGCAAGATGAACCTTCGAAGTCATTTTGCCCCACTGAAATCTGCACGAATCCCAACAAATTACATATCAAAACGCTGCAAATTAATTCAACTCTTTGAATTTGGCGGTGCATTTATTATTCCGAGCATTCTCTGTCAATCCAGTCCAGTTTTTCTCCACCCGCTGCTTTCAAGACCGGTCACGCTTTTGTAAATTTACATCCAAACCGACGGGAAAAAAAAAACAAAAATGCCCCATCGAAATCTAAATAAAATAACCCAAGTTTTTCACCACTAGTAGCTTAGATAGCACTTAGTTCAATACCGGTGGTGCATTTGTGATAGATCTCCTACTTTGGAGAAGGAAAAGCAATATTCTGTAGAAAATAGCGTGTTTTCAGCTCTATTTTACCGGAAGTTGAGGCCACCTGATGTGGCATAGGGCAAATGTCGCAATGCGTTTGATATGAGTTGGTTTGTAGACTACACTTGCTTAACTTGCTTTGGCGCTTTCTCCTTTCTCTCCTTTGCTTCCTTTTCTTCCTTGATTTCCCACAATGCCTCGCTCTCCTTTCATTCCCACAAGTCCAGGTTCACCTTTTATCCCCATAATTCCTGATAGTTCTCTCTTCCCAGGAGGCCCTTCGCGCCCTCTGTCTCCTTTTGGACCCGGCATTCCTTGGGATCCCTTTTCACCGATCTGCCCTTTTGGACCTTCCCTTCCCTGGGGTCCTTGCGGTCCTGGAATGCCTGGCATTCCCGGCATGACATTTGATCCTGGAATGCCAGGAAAACCATGACCGAGTACAAATTTCTGAAAATGAAGATGAATTATCAGTTAAGTGAAGAGTTGAGAGAGAAGTGTATCTTAGATACAATAACCCGTAAAAAGTTTATGTTAGCTTTGAATGGAATTAAATTTATTGACAGAGATATTGCAGTCTCCCTTATTTTGGCGGCGAAATGAGAGTAACACTGTTTAGACTAAGAGCTAGACCAAATGAAAAGAAGAAGAAGATAATTGAAAGAACAGGCAGTTAGACCAAAAATTCAGACGTGTTAAACTACAGTGCAGATTCGGCTAACGCAATATCTTTAATTGACTAAAACAATAGGCGCAGAGAGATCAAGATAGGCTACCACAAAGCTAGTACTTTGACTGTTGCTCTAATCTTCGAGCAGGCTTGTTCCTCCGTTTTTTTTTTTTTTTTCCACGCGCTGCCCCTCACGAAGAAATGTCAACTAAAGCAAAATAATAATTCGATATCTCGCATAAATCTTTTATCTCGTTTTTTTGTTGCTGAGGCGGGCTGGTTGTTCCTTGTGAACCTCCAGAAATACAGAGAATCAGGAAAACAGCGAAATAATGAACCATTCTGAGAGCTGAACCAGAAGCCTGTGAACTGAGATCAGTGTTAGGTGCCACGTTCTTGTTAAAGTGGGCCGTTATACCTGCAAGTATTATTTCTATTCAATTTACCTCTTAACCACCACATGCTTTAATCCTCGTATGTGTGAAAATGCACGCACTGTTTGTTTTATTTTCTATTTTTAACACCCTTAAAGATTTGAGGTTGCAACCTCTAAGAAGTTCCCATTTTTTATTTTCCCATTCTCCGTTACCCGATTTCCCCGCCTGCTCGCTGCTCCCCATTATCCGTTGTTTAATTAATTCGTATGTGTTGGTTTCCTAAAGGCGCTAATCATCATCACTTTTCACCGAGATGGACTGGGTCAAGAGATGCAAATCCAATGATAAGGATCAATATGGCACATTTCTGAGCGTTTCTTAGGCCGAGTCGATCGAACAATGGCGTTTTCTGTTAACAAGAAGGGACGAATTTTTGTTGGCGGAAGGATAATCAATGAAAGTTCTTTCGGTTTCAGCCTCCTTAAGCTGCAAAACCATGATTCCTAAACAGTCAGCAATGAGAAAGTGCGATCACGTGAATTCATAACTACCTGACTCAACATCGTACGGCATAGTGTAAAAATCAACTGACACTTGCGTATCTATGAATTCAAGGTCATTAATTTCAATTAGAGGAAAAAGTTGGCCTTGGGTTGCGAGGCATTTTACAACTTTAGTAGTGAATGTTTATCAAATGCTCCGCTTTGTCCCGGTCGATCAGGGGACGGGGGGTTTTGAAGCGTAGGTTTAATTACATTGACTGAAGCATTACTAAAAAGGAGTCAGGTAGCTGATGGGAAATTTAAAAATACACTAAGACTTTTTCACAGGATTTGAAGATGATCCGAAAGTTACAGTTGAAGTTTATACTAGCCGCTAGCATACTGAGTTATCTCTGATAAGATAGCGGGCTTACTGATACATTGTTTTTTGTATACTTTTTTCTACAGTGTTTCCGCATTAGATAAATTCAACTATAATGCCCCCTTTACTCAGGTTCTCTTATTTGCTATTGCCTTTTTGAGGGTTTAATAAATGAACCTCAATTAGCTCTGGAATTCCTACAGATATTCTTAAAGCACAAATGGGCAGAAAGGGAAAAAGTGAAACAAAATTAAACCAAAACAGAGCAAACTCATTCTTTTTGAAAATTTCGTCATGATTTGCTTCAAACTTAAAGGAGGTGTGGCTAAAGTTAACACAAGTAAAGACTTGTTGCAAGTATAAAACTTATATTTTGCATGGACGGAATATGTTAATAAGACAATACATTGTATTTAGGTTGCCTGTTAAAGTCACTAAAACAAGCCCTCTCCAATTGCTTTTTAAGTGCGTACGCTCAAAAATTGTCTGCGCAAGATCACGTAACATGTCAACGGCGACAAAAAACAGAATAAATTCCTATTGAAAAAGTCTGAGCATTTTTCTCAGTTTGTCCTCGTCCGTTTTCTTATTGAAGCCTTCTGGCTGTGTATCTCCTCATAACAAAAATGTTAGCTGTGTTTATCTCCATTAAGTGAAAGAAAAAAATGGCAATTACTCTTCATTGAAATACTAAACAGGAAACAGGAAATAAAAAAGACTTCAGACGATGTAGTTACTTTAGGCACTGTTGGCTAATCATCAGCAAATATTCAACAAGGCACTGGTGGTTCAGTGGTAGAATTCTCGCCTGCCACGCGGGAGGCCCGGGTTCGATTCCCGGCCAGTGCATTTCTTTTTTATATAGGGCGATAAAATACAATGAAAATGACATGAACTGTAACAAGAAAGGATGCGCTTGAATGTATTTTTTGGCAATTGAGTGAGAAAAGAGTAAATCGGTTATTTAGTATTCGCCATTAGCACATCTCCGGTAAAACACCTTGTTTGCCCCCTCCCCCTTCCGTAGGAAACACAAGCATTGTTTTGAGACGACTATGTAATACCCCAGGAAAATTGGAAACAACGGTTTAACAAAATTTGGGGATGAAAACATGGTGTATTATGGGAGATGTGCAAATAGCGAATGATGGTATACTTCGTTCCCAGGGAGGAGTTTGGACAATTAATAATGCCCCTGCTATAATACAATAGAAGTGCCATTTCGCATCTGACGTGCATCGGTTCTTAAGAATTCGAACCAAAAGTTGTAATTTACAAAAAAAGGTGACAATGCCATGATAACCTTTTCACACAAATGGCTCTCTTATGTTGAATGAATCTTTCCGGCAGCGTAATAAGAGACACTAAACTTGAGTCTGGAAAAAAAATATTCCGTTTCAGGTAAAAAAAAAATCGCTCTAAGCTGGTATTTATAACAGTTTTTATTCACTGTGTCTTAAATTTAGCATCACTTTTCAAACCATATTAATATTATAGACTCAAGAAGCTAAATAGTTATGAAGCCATGCACGTGTCTTTGTTGTCGTCGTTGCTACCCAGGTCTGGTTTCACCGTGCACTTGTTAGACTAAGGCGGCTTTAACACTTGTTGCCATGCATACGGAATGTTATTCTCCCAGGGACAATAATGAGAAAACACCCTTTTTTATTACCCACGCCTAAGATTCGAGCACGGTCGCCACGGTGGCTAACAGGGGTGAAGACAAGAGTCTTACGATACCTGTTGGGACTGACGTATATGTATGCCTTCATTATACGCTCTCGGTAAAAAAAAAACAAAAACAAAAACAAAAAAGGAGCAAAAAAAAAAGGAGAAGAAATAAAAAAGAAACAGACAATCAAGTAACAATGAAACAAAACAAAGTAAAGATAAAACATCTTGATGTCACGCCTCTTGGCCAATCAGAGCGCGCGTACTATCTCAGATATTTTATAAAATATGTCTAGTACCATTCTCCACAGTTCCGATGAAGGTTCCAAGATACCCCTAGCTAAAAAGTTTACCTATTTATATTTGAGCCATGAATCAAGAACGAAAATGGAACTGAGGTTGTGTATTGGCTGGAAATGAGGTTGTGTATGTTTCCATGAATTTCATCATCACATTCTTGGCTCGATTCCCTTTAGCCTCTTTTTAGGAATTTGATTTGTTCCTCCTTAACCGATCGAAAAGAGGGCTGGACGCGCAGATTCGCGAAGGTCGATTTTTACCAGTCAGATCGTTGTCTGCCTATCAAATCGAGCAGGCCGCAAGAGCAATTTTTCTTCCCGGGAAGGTCAGTCAAAATTAGACCTGATCAGAGATAAATGAAGAAATTTGAACCTAATCCGGGTTTAATTCGGTGGAAGTAAATAAATAAATAAATAAATAAATAGCATGTGTATTAAAATTACATTTTACTGAAAGCCTTGCACATTGAAGCAAACTGAATGCACTAACAAATATCAGAGAAAAATCAGGAGATGACAAAGAACTCTATCAAAAGAAAAACAACGTTCCATTTCTTTTAACTGATCCAAAAGTGTCAATTAAAGATAACACAAGTTTAAACTTATTTAACTTCTTAACTATTGCTAGCGGGCCTGATATTTTTGGGAGGCCGGGAAATTGTCGTCACGACTATTAAGTACAAACGTGTACGGCAAACGGCAGATTCAAGTTGTAAATTTCTAGAAAATAATTGTAAAGGATGAAAATAACCAGAAACTTATAGTTTTAAATAGAAGTAAAGAACAGTTAAAGATAAGGAAAGGGAAAACTTGGTCACGTGGTCCAAATTCACGTTTGCCGTAAACGTGACCGTATGGCTGTCTCTAATTGATCAGTGGTTGACGATAGCCGCCAATTCTTGGTTTCCTAACCTACTAGCTTTTGCTCTAATCTCTCGATCTTCTTCCCACTTTTTTCGATTAAAGCTACACCATATCAAGCGCACCTCGATCAATTCGGGTTAGTATACGTTCAGAATTCTTAAATTTTCATGTCTGGTTTTAGCTGTATATACAGTGAACTAACACTATCTGTCTCCATTAGTTTGAGTGTCAAAATGTAATCATCCATTTTTCTACAAAAGTTTGATAAAAAAAAAAAATCTTAGTTCTTAGCTTACGCGAAAACACAACACAAGATTTTGAAACACTTTTCAATTAATATAATTTTTTTCAGTTTAACTATTAGTCTAAGACCTATAATTTGACCCCAAATTCAAAAGTTTAAGAAAAAGGTTGATCAACCCTGGATAACGTGAACTTGTTGCCCGACACTGATTCAATTTTCGTCCATATATAACTTGAAATTTAACGATCACAATTACACGCGCGGAAATAATATGCAGAATATTAACACTATAAATTTTGGGCCACTGCTCCTTAATGCTCTTTAAGATCGGCCCACCGACATTCTATTAAATGAGAGGAGAACCGGGAAGAAGCTGGGATCGTCGAATAAAATGCGAATTGTGATTGTTCTTA